ATTTACAACTTATTTTATAACGAATCATAAAATCATACCAAATCTATCTTAATAAAAATAGTATCAAAGAAAAAAGACAAAAAAGGAAGTATATATTCATTATATCCTAAGTTTCTAAATATTCTATTATTATATTTTATTATCTAACCATTGATTAAAAAAGGTCCCAAACTTCATAAAATTGTTTATCTTCTTGTTCTCTAATTTCAAATGTCAATCTACTCATTTCAGCACATTCCAATATTTTCTTAATAGTTTGTTCCTCTGATGGAATTTTCTCACTCTTCCAATTTTTAGCAAATACAATCCTAGCCGCTGTTAATACATTTACAATCAAATACTTCAAATCTTTATTATATGTATCAGGTAAAATTCCCAATAAAAAAATCTCTGGTTTCAAATCTATATGTTTCTTTGTCATTTTTTCCAACCATATGCGAATTTTAGTCCAATATTTTCTAGCGTCCTCACAAGTCCACCACATATGGTAATATGAGCCAGGTATCTGATGACATTTCCAGCATTTTCAGATTTATTCTTGAACATTCTTGCTATTCTTGTCGGAGGAAAATGCCACCTGTAAAACATCTTATACAAATTTTCTTTATATGCTGTTGACATCGTCGTTTTATAATTTTGAGACCACAATTTTTGCCATTTCTCTAAATCAATCCCATATCCAAAATTCTTCCCCCAAGCAATCATCGTTTCTTTAACTTGTTCTTCCTCTAGTTTAATTTCCAGCAAATAACTATATAATTTTTAAATCACTTTTTCATCAGTACCTGTCAAAATCCTATCTAAGTCAGTCAATTTATCATAAAATCCCTCCATTTTAGAATCTTTAAGACACCTTGAGTGTATTTGCGCATATGAAAACCAATTCATCCTTATACCTTGTTCTTCTAGCTTTTGCATCGTTTTAAGTTCACTCTTTTCATCCAATATTTCCCCATATCTAACTGTTTGTTCCTTCTTATATATTATAGGATAAGAAAAAGCTTCAATAATTGATAACCAGACTGGGATTTTCAAATAACATTGTCTCTTAATTTTCTCCCAATTCAACCATAAAGACTCCCATATATAATGCCTTCTAAAATAGCCCTGCGATTTAGTTCCCTTATACCACAGAAAAGCATGCCATCCCAGTAATAAATCATGTCCTTCTAATATCAACAATCTAGTCTTTCTTAATGTTATCCATTCTTTAGCCCACATTAAATTTGCAGCTTGGTAGTACAACTCCCAATTAGAAAGGCCAAATCCTCCTCTAATTCTAGCATCTTGTAGAAGTTTTAATTTTATTCTCGCTTTCTTACCTTGCCACATATACTCCAACACAATTTTATTTAGTTCTTCAAAATAATCTTTGCCAAGCCTAATTGGTATTGTTTGGAACAAATATAAAATTCTGGGTAAAATATTCATCTTGATTGTTGAAATTCTACCTATCAATGACAATTGTAAGTTTTCCCATTTCTTCAGATCAGATGCTATTTGTTGTTTAAGTTTAATGTAGTTATCCTCTTTCAATGTAATACATCTTGATGTTAAATGTATCCCCAAATATTTAACCTTATTTGTAACTTGAATTTTCGATAAATCTGCCAGTTCATCTCTTTGTTTTAATAGCATATTCTTTGCCAGAATCTTTGTTTTATCTTTATTTATTTTCAAACCAGCCATCTCACCATACGTCTCTATCTTTTCCAATAGTTTTAAAGCTGTCTCTAGAGGATTTTCCAGAATGAAAACCAAATCAGCCGCAAAGGTTTGCAATTTAAATTCCTCCTTCTTAACTTTCAGTCCTTTTATATTTTGATCCTCTCTAATATTTCTATTCAACACTTCCAAAGTCAGTACAAATAGCAAAGGTGATAATGGGCATCCTTGTCTTGTGCCTTTTCTTATATTAATAGAGTCTGTAAATTCTCCCTCTATCATTACTTTTGCCGTTTGCTTATGGTATATGGCTTCTATTGCTTGAATAAATTTTCTGGCAAAGCCCATCTGTTCCAGTAGTAATAACATAAATCTCCATTTCACATTGTCAAATGCCTTTTGAGCATCTAGGAATATCAAAGCCATTTGTTTTTCAGGATGTGCCTCATAATATTCCAAAGTGTCTCTTTGGCAGGAATCCATTCTGATCAGGGTGAATAAAATTATTTAAATATCTTTTGAGCCTTTCTGCCAAGATTGAAGCAAAGATTTTATAGTCTGTGTTCAATAAAGAAATAGGTCTATAGTTCTTAATTTGTAATGGATTGGCCCCTTCTTTTGGAATAAGTGTAATATAAGCTTCTGACCATGTTTTAGGTATTTTCTTATTTAACATAACTTCATTCATGACTTCTAGCAATGGAATGCTCAACAATTCTTGTAGTGTTTTATAAAATTCTGCTAGAAGCCCATCTGGACCCGGTGCTTTTCCATTATTCTGTCTGTTGAGTACTTCAGTTAGTTCCATCATTGTTATAGTGCTTTCTAACATTTTTTCAGTCTCTTCAGATATCTTAGGTAAGTTAGCATTTTGTAAATAAAGTTTAATTTTTCCCCCATCAAAATCCTCCTGTTTATATAGTTGCCCATAAAAGTCTCGAATAATTACCTTTTTCTCCTTATTACCATAAAACATTTGACCTTGGTCATCTATTAGCTGTAATATTTTCCTAGATTCTTTCTCCTTTCTCAGTTTATATGCTAACCATCTACCTGGCTTATTTGCATCTTCAAAATAGTTCTGTTTAGCACTTCTAATTTTTTGTGCCAGTTCTTCTTTCTCTACCTGACCCATTTTATGTTTAATTATATCCATTTTAAGTTTAATATCTTTTTTCTGTGGCATTCTTTCTGCAATTCTTTTCTCTTTCAAGGGGAACACTAACTGACTTCAGCAATTCTAACTGCGCAGTTGGAAACTTATGTACATAGCTCCCACCTGCAAGCCATGAGGAGGATCATGGTAATCTCCTCTTGAATAGACCTCGCTTTTCCCTGATCCTCTCCTCCCTGCGTGACCTAGGATGGATAGGCGATGGGCCTGGATCCTCCTCTGACTGCTCAGCTGGCATCTGCCCTTCCCCAGCCTCCTCTACCACCTCTGGAGCCACACTCCCACTGGCTGTTCCTCCTCTTCCTCAGAGTCAGACTCCATCAGGGGCATTTATCCCAGACCAGGTAATACTCTGAATCATCCTTCCCATTTAATTTGACCGTGAGCCTCTCCGTGAGCCTCTCCATTTCAGCACTTTCATGAATTTTTTGAATAATAATGTGTATCGGTGGTAAATTGGCCTTCTCCAATGTTGCACCAAAGAAATTTGTGTCGCTGTTAGTAAATGGATGATCAGGTATCTCACTTTGGGAAGGTAGTCCCTTTTAATCATCCCCAGGAGGAACAGTTCTGGTTTCCACTCCAGTCTGTATTCAGTAATTTCTTCTATCCATATTCTTATCCTTCCCCAATATTTTTTAATCTCAGGGATGTCCACCAAAGGTGGAAATAAGTACCAAATTTCTCTTTACATTTCCAACAGCTTGGTTTGCTGTTGGATAATTTTAGCTAATCTAGAGGGTGCCAGATGCCATCTATATATCATTTTATATAGATTTTCCTTGTATGGTATTGATTTTGTTAACGTAAGATTCCTTTGCCAGATTTCCTCCCAGTCATCCAGATCTATATTATAACCAAAGTTTTTTTTCCCAGACTAGCATTGGTCCTTTTACAATTTCCTCAGCCAATTCATATTCTAGTAGGTAATTGTATAATTTAGATATATTTTTCTCTGGGCCCAGGAGTATTTTATCTAATTGAGTGTCTTTTATTTCAAATCCATAATTATGTCTCATTTTTATTTGAAAGTAGGACCAATTGTCAATAATTATTTCTTGGGTTTCTAACTCCTGAATCGATTTAAGTTTCCGTCGTTGTCTGGAATTTGGTGGTATTTGAGCTTTTTGCTAACATCCATCATGTTGGGATGGAACATCACCTCCATTGTTGAAAGTCACCTCAGAATTTTAGTATAGTGGTTCCTTCTAATATCTGTCCAAATTTTTATCACAGATTTACGTAGAGTGTGTCTGGAGAAATATGAATGGCTTTTATTGTTTGGGTTCCACAAAAATGCATGCCACCCTATTTGCAAATCATGGCCCTCAAGTGTTAAGATTCTTTTATTTCCCAATTTAATCCAGTCCTTTATTCACACTAGTACTGTTGCTTTGTAATAGGTCTCCCAGATGGGAAATCCAAAGCCACTTCTGCTTTTATTATCTTGTAGATAGATTTTTTTTTATTCTTGTTTTTTTCCCTGCCGAAATGAATTTCATAACAATTTTATCCAAGTCTTTAAAGAATTTTTTATCCAATAATATTGGAATTGTTTGAAATAAATACAAAATTTTGGGTAGTACATTCATCTTGATCATTTCTATTCTACCTAATAATGAGATTTGCATTTTACTCCAAATTTCCAGATCCTTTCCAATTTGTTGCAATAATTTGATATAGTTATCCTCCCTCAGGGTTGATGCTCTAGGTCTTAGCTAAATGCCTAAATATTTGATTTTATTCACAATTTATAATCCCATCATTTCCTCTAATTCTTTTTGTTTACTGTTTGTTAAGTTTTTAACTAGCATTTTAGTCTTTCCATGTTAATTTTTAATCCTGCCAATTTGCCAAATTTATCTTTCATTTAATAATACTGGTCCCGAATCTATTGGTTCTTCTATGACAAAGACCATGGCATCCACAAATGCTTGTAATTTGTACTCTTGACTTTTAATTTTTGTTCCCTTAATTTCTTTGTTTGATCTAATTCTGTCCAGTAATGTTTCTAGAATTGTTATAAAAAGCAGAGGTGACAGCGGGCATCCCTGCCTGACACCCTTCTTTATCTCAAATGGTTTGGTAGCTTCTCCATCTAGCAGTACATTTGCTTTTTGTGTGGCATAAATTGAATTTAGCATTTTTGCAAAATTACCACCATATTTCATCAGATTAATCTGGTATTTCATGAAATCCCAATTAAGATTATCAAAGGCCTTTTGCGCATCCAGGAAGACAAGGGCCACTTGGTTTCCTGGGTGCAGTTCATAAAATTCTAATATATCTATTATCATTCTCGTATTATATCTAATCTGTCTCATGGGAAGGAATCCGTTTTGGTCAGGATGAATTTTGTCATTGATTGCTTTCTTTAATCTTTCTGCCATTACAGTCATGAAAATTTTATAGTCTGAATTTAGAAGAGATATTGGTCTATAATTCTTTATTTGATTGGCATCTACACCCTCTTTAGGGATTAATCTAATATAAGCATCCTTCCATGATTCTGGAATTTTAGCTTCCAGTAATACCTCATTGCAGATCTCTAGCAACACATTTTCTAGTACATCTCCTATCTCTTTATATAACTCACTTGGAAAGCCATCTGGGCCTGGGGTTTTGTTGCTTTTTTATTTTTTAATCACTTCTTTTAATCCACTTAAAGTTATTTCTTTATTAAGTATCTCCTTTTTGTCCTCTGGTAGCGAATGTAAAACTCTTCTTTCAAATATTCTTCTATTTTGTTTAGATCAACTGTATCTTGCTTATATAAGCTCTCAAAATACTCTCTTACAATTGCCTTCTTTTTTTCCAAATTAGTCTCTATTACTCCATTTTTGTCCAGTAATTGGTATATTGTTCTTTTTTGGTTTTCTTTTTTCAGTTTGTACACTAACCATCTACCAGATTTATTTGCATGTTCAAAATAATTTTGTTTTATATACTGTAGCTTCTTGGTTAGTTCCTCCTGATCTAAAATGTTCATTTCATGCTTAGATAGTGCCAGCTCATTTCTAATTTGTCCATCTCCTGGAGATTCCATTTGTCTATTTTCCAAATCTTTTATTTTTTTGTTAGAGTATTTTGTTTTTCCCATCTTTTTTTATTTCTATTTGCTATGTATGCTATAGATATTCCCCTTAAATATGCCTTTGTTGTATCCCAGAGATTCTGCAATGAGGTATCTTGTTTTGTATTAAATTTAAAGAAACCAATTAATTCTTCCCTGTTTTTTTGGATGTAGTCTTTTTCTTGTAATAGTTGCGAGTTAAGTGTCCATCTACTTTTCTTGTGGGTTGGGTCTTTCCAGACTATCTGCAACAGGTTGTGATCTGCCCAGGTGTTAGTTAAAACCTTTATGTCCTGAATTTCCTTAAGTAAGTCACTGTTTACCCATGCCATATCAGTCTAGACCATGATTTATGCGGATTGGAGTAGAAAGTGAACTGAGTCACCCCGGGTTCAGCTCCCTCCAAGCATTCACTAGTTCTAATTCTTCGGCCATCTCCAAAAAGCACTTGGGCAATATATTCCGGGTTTTTTTAATATATATTTTTGTTCATATGCATAGTCCTGATTGTTATTTGTAATTGCATTATAACCTCCAAATATACAAATTTTTGAGTTGCCAATTTTTATCAATTTCTCATATAGGATTTTATAGAATTCATTCTGATTTTTATTGGGGGCATATATCCCCGCCAATAGAATGTTTTTATTTTGAATGACCACTTCTACCATTAATATTCTCCCCATTGTGTCGTTATAGATCAATTTTGAAGTTATTTTCTCTTTAATATATAGTACAACTCCTATTTTTTTTCTTCTGCTAATGTTGTATACATTTTCCCCAATTTTTTATTTTGTAAGTATCTCTGATCCTGCATTTTAATATGAACCTCTTGGAGAATAATTATATTAGTTCTCTGTTTCTCTAATTTAAAAAATATTGTCTTCCTCTTAGATGGATCATTTAGTCCATTGATATGCATAGATATTAGTTTCAATCCTCTTTCCTTTTACCCTTAGTCTAGCTTTTATCCCTTGTTAATTCTAGATGTTGTTTGACTCCTGGTTCTCACTCCTATCTCTTCTCGGGTGGCTATTTCTTCCCTTCTTTCCTTCTCTTTCTCTCTCTCCCTCCCTCTAGTTATAGGTTGTGATTCTTCTTGTCTTGAAGCCTCGGGCTCGCCTCTCCTACTAAATTCCTCTTCTGATCCACATATTTATTCAAAAAAGTCTTGTGCCTTGATTAAACTGTCTATTTTCATTCTCTTCTCTTTCCATGTTGCCAAAATACCCTCTGGAGTGATCTATCTAAAAGAGATGCTTTTTTTGTTAAGATGAGGTGAGGAGGAATCGGTAGTCTTTCCTCTGCTCCCAGACTCTTCTTGGCACTTGTTTCAGCATAATTACTTCTCTACCTTTATACTTTATTGTTTCTTCTCTTGAAATTCTGTAAATTAAGTCCTTAACTTGCCTCCTAGCAAACCTGATATGGACTTCCCAAGGAAGTCTGTGCTGCCTCGCGTAGCTTGTGTGATCTCTATACACATCGTCCAATTCATTTACTACCTCATTTTTATCTCTTTGTAAGAGTTCCACTAACATTTTGGCCATTACTAGTGTTAAGTTTTCTTCTTTATCTTCCTCCACATTTTGAAATCTAAGGTAATAGGAGACTCTGTCCATCTCGAGATGGATTAAGGTCTCTTTGTTTTGGTCAGTAATTTTTTGATCAATATGTTCTAATTTCTTTTCCATTTGATTGGCTTGTTCTTCAGTTATTCTGATTTTTTCTTCATTTATCCTAATGGATTCCTGAATCTGGCCTATTTTTCCATCCAGGTTCCTAATTTCAACTTTTATTTCCCCTATTTCATTTTTCAATTCTGTTTTCATTGTTTCTCTATCAGCTCTACTTTCAGTGCGGTTTTTTGACATTGACTCCTGTAGTGCTAGCATCGTTCCTTGAATTGCCAGCAAGGAAGCTTGAACTGATTGGGTGCCAGTTGAAGTATTTTGTTTCTTTGGGGCCAACATCCCTTTGATCGTTCATTGGCTCGATGGTGTAGGATTAGGTAGTGCTACTGTTGGTACAGATTTTCTCCCAGTTTTGTGATGGTGGTAGTGCTACTAGTCATATCTTTAACAATTTTGTATTGTTCATCTACTATTTTAGTTAAATTGTATTACCAATTACCATCAACTTTATCAATAATTTAAGTTTTTTAATTTTGCCTATTAATTAATTAGAGATTTCTATTGTTATTTAATTGATTAAATCAATTTCCTGTCTCCACTAGCTTTAAAAATTATTGTCAGTTAATCCATGATATACTCAATCTCTCGGAGGCAAATCGATCAATATTAGCCTAGCTTCTCGATTAGCAATAGGTTAAGGTATTAATAAATCTTAACAAATATAGTCTAATATCAGGTTTCAAATTATCTGGTAGTTAATCAAGTTAATCAAATAAGCAAATGTCCCACAGTATTATAGCCAAGTGTGAGTGTTTAAATTTGTTATAGTATTTCGTCTATTGCTCTTCTAAACAGCGTATAAAATTCAGAGTTCAAATTAACAGTTCTTAAATCTTAGTAGTCCACAATACCAAACAAAGAGAAGGGAAAAGAAAGAGAAAGAAGGAGCAAGTGTTTAAATTGTCATTATACTAAACAATATATTAAATTCATTAATCTACAATAGATCAGATATATATATAAAAGGAAAAGAGGGGGAAATACAAATTAGAGAAATTAATTATCATTCTTCAAGCCAATTTCTATATAAAATAATCAATCAATATTAATCTCTTATTATTTAAGTATATAAGAAAAATATATATAAAATAAAGCTATCCAAATCCAATAAATTCAAAGGAAGAATAGAAACTTCAGGAGGGAGAGGGGTATAAAGTCTCTTAATATCTTACTATTACCTTAATATTCTAGTGATAAATAAATCTATTCAAATGTTAGATACAATTGTAGGAACAATAAATATAATAAACATTTGTCTGACTTATTTTGTGTCAGTTTTGTTCCGTTCTCAGTTCTTTTAGTCACTTCCAGTTACATTGATACAATTTACCATAGTTTGCTACTCTCAATGGCCACCTCCAGAGTTTGCACTGTCACTCTTCAAGACTTTCTTAAAGTTCTGTCCAGATCCCTTTCTCAGACGGAGTAAATTCAGCGGTCTCTCTTCAAACAGTTAATAACAGAAAGCTCTTTCCAGCAATGTCCACTTGCCTCTCCTTCTCTGTTTTCTTTTTAAAATCATATTTCCACTGTTTCCCAGTATTGGGGGTGGGAAGCTAGATCACTGCCGCCACTTTTCACCTCCAGCCCTTTCATTCTGGAGTTCAGTGATACAAGCAGTACTTCAGTTGTAATCCACAAAACAGGTATAATACCGGTAGCTTGCCAAATCTCCATTCACTATCTCTTCTCTGCTTCTTTCTTTGATGACTCGTCATGTCCTCAGGTCTGCCCGCAACAGGCTGACTTCTTTTGCCTCGGACTTTGGGCTCTCTTCTTCGCCACTTCAGGATCGCAACTGATTAGACTCCAAGAGTTCCTCCTCACTTTGGTGATCCCTCTGGGATCTGACCACATCACGAATGGCTATCCAAAGGTAAAATATCTGATGCAGGAGAGCAGAGCAAAGTTCTCCTGCACCACCACGACATGACGTCACCGGAAACCTCACAACCTACTTCTTAGTAAGCTAGAAAAAAGTGGAATGGATAGCACCATCACTAGATGGACTTGCAACTGGCTGATAAACCATACTCAACGAGTAGTCCTTAATGGGTCTAAATCTACATGGAGGGAAGTAAGCAGTGGGGTGTCACAAGGTTCTGTCTTAAGCCCAGTACTCTTTAAAATCTTCATTAATGACTTAGATGAGGGAGTAGAAGGGGAACTTACCAAATTTGCAGATGATACTAAGCTGGCAGGAATAGCTAACACCCAAGAAGATAGGCTCAAGATCCAGATGGATCTTGACAGAGTAGAACACTGGGCCGTATCTAAAATGAAATTCAATGTAGAGAAAAGTAAAGTCCCCAGAATTCTGGTTTGAGCTTCTTCAGTGACAGACCAAAACCTCATCTCTGCGAGGCTTCGATCCGTGCTCGCCACTGGAGCACCCCAAGTTGGCTGGTTTCGGGGCTAAGCCATCCCATAGAGGTGGTGAAGATGGGGGAGACTGGTAGCAGGGTTGAAGAGAGCCGCATCTCTCCTCCCCAGCTGGCCATTACTCCCTTTCCCAAAGGCGGTTGTAGCGGTGGTCAGAAATGGCCACCATAAAGAAGAACTCGACTGGAAAAGAATGTGCAGAAGGAAGATAAGAAGAGAAAGTTTTCGTTTACCAGGTCAAACAGCAAAAGCAACAAATAAGGTACCCTGGAATTAAAACTGTTAAAAAACAATAACATTGTTCCCTAAGAAGATTTTTAAGCTGCGAAGGAGAGAGAAAAGGGAAAAGATTTAGTTTTCTCATTTTCCTATACTGACAGCTAAGAGACTTAAGCAAGAAATTGGAAAAAAAATTCACTTTGACATCAATAGGCATTTAATGCTGAAAATAAAAAGTCAAAGGGATAG